CGTTGATGAATTAGATCTAGATGTCCGGGTGTAGAATGATGACGGATCGGCCGAGTAGGCTGGGCCCAACAGGAATGTGAGATTGGAGGGGATAGGGTGCTTGTGATGTGCCGGTCGGGTACGGAGCAGGCGCGGGGTTGTTCCGTTGGACGCATAGTTACCGTAGTTGTTGCCCGTATGACTGGGTGTAGGAGGGATCATAGGATGGCGTTTGTGACGTGGTCGATGCATTCGAGCTGAAGCCAGGGCTTGGCAATGGTTGATCATGGCGAGCTGACGCCTGAGCGCTCTGGGGGAAGGACTGGTTGTAGGTAGAGGCAGGTGACATGCCGTAGGTCGGGGCCTGGGGAATGGTCGGAGAGGTGTAGCCTTGGTTGTAGTTGTTGTTGTTGTAGCCATGCTGGGTGGGTGCGCGCTGGGGGCTTGTGGCAGTGGCGTAAGCCGCGGGGTTGTACGCTGCTGGCGTGTAGTTGGTCGGCGAGGCAGCGGTATTGGACCCGGCACTGGTCGAGCTATAACGCTGAACAGGGGGCTGAGGATGATAAGGCAGCGACGTGGATTGCGATCGCGCAAAGTGTTGAGGGTTGTAGGTCGAGTGGGAGGGGGTCGGCGGTGCGGCCGCCTGGAACTGGTGTTGGAAGCCTGACATGGCGCTGTTGGCGGAGCCATAGCTCGGTCGGTTCACAGAGGGGTCGGTTGGGCTGGTGAGGAAGAGCTCATCTCGGCCCCTAACGGATGGAGCGCTCGCGTCTGGGTAGCCCTGGGGAGTCGCTTGGTCCTGACCTTGGTCGAAGAAGGAGGAATCGTCGCCGTTGTTGAAGCTAGGTCGCCGCGCCGGGTAGGAGGACTGGTCCTGGGCCTGGTCGGCTACAGGATATTGCACTGGGGGCACATGGCCGTAGCGGCGCTGGCCATCGCCTCGAAAAGACATGGTCGCAAGTCAGTCAACCCCCGGGGTAGCGGAGGTGTTGCCTGTCAATATGACCAAACGAGCGCCGCGGGCTGGCGGTGATGATTGTACGCCGAGATTGGCAGGCCGCGTGCGCAGGCCAGTATGGGGGTGTCGTTCGAGGCGGGGAGGCAATTCAGGACGCCATGCACAGAGATTCTCGCGTTGGGGTCGCTAGGCAGGGCGATGGGCGTTTGATTGATGTTGGGTTCGGCGGGTGAGAGAGGTCGGTCTGCGCGCGCGCCGGTTGTGTCGCTTCTCTCGAGCTGTGGGCTCGGACAGTTTGGGAGAGGATCAGGTTGTGGAGAACAGGAAAACAAATCTGCTTGGCAAAGAATGACCCAGCTGTCAGCCTTAGCAGGCGAGGTCGAGAGGTCGAAGGGTCGAGTGGTTGGGCATACGAGGGGGAAACAGTGGACAAGCAGCTCAGGGTTCAGTGGTGTGCGCCAGAGTAGTTGGGTGCCCTGGATGGTGGCCCTGGATCGGAAAGCCAAGCCACAGCGACGGGGCTGGCCAAGCGAGTGTTGCCAGAAGATGAGCGGGGTGTTTGCTCGTTGGTGGTGGTGTCGGTGTTGGCACCCCCCGAGCACGAGAGCAGCTAGGCGGATGATGCGGAGGGTAGAGCGCAAAATGTAGGTCAGAGCACAGCACTGGATGGGGTGTCGAGGTAGCACGAGTCGGTCGCAGGTGGTGGTGATGGCGGTGGCGGCGCAGACAGGTGATGTCAATGGCCGCAGTCGTTTCCCGCAATCCTATGCTATGCTAGTCTTGGTAGTGCGCAGCACGGGCTGCCTCGGGTCTCAAACAGCGCAAGGCGGTAGACCATTCAACGATGGAATGTCAGGGTACAGCCTGATGTGCTAGTGTCGGTTCATGAAGAGGTAGCTTTTGCGGGGATGAATTAGGTTGGCTGAAGCCGGCGGGTCGTTCATTAATATCGGATTGTCGCTAAGGTCAAATTCAGGTATCAATTTAGATCGCAATGACGATGATTGTCCCAACCAACCCTCGAGCTATCGACTGTGCTGGCAAAAGGTGGGGGAGGGGATGCAGGATTGCGAAAACAACCAAAAGAAAGCAGGATGCAGGATGCAAGACGTGAGATGCAGAAACCAGAGCACGAGTGGCAACTCAGGTTGACGATGGCCTTATCCTTGGCTCCATGGCCCCGGGGCAAGCACCATGAATGATCCTGCCTTCCGTCTGTCGAGAAAGCCTCAACCAAACAAGTCAGGAGCAACGGACCAGATCAGCCAGGAGCCAAGACCCCACCAGCCTCAGCGTGCGGCTGTGGCTGGGCGGTGCCTGCCCGCCCGCCGTGGCTCACACACTGATCATGGGCAAGGCCGTCCATTCCAAAGGCCTGGCTTCTCCAGCTGACAGGACTCGATTGGAGGCCTGGCGCCTCTAGTGGCTGGCGTCACATGCTGGTGGTAGGTTATCATCGATACTTCAGAACTGACTGGCCTACTCAGATAGTTTGCGTACCCATTCCCATTGGAATGCCATCGCACGCTGTACTCCGCATCTTCAAACGCAGGGCGACATTCTGCACATGCCTGTCCTTTCGGAAACGTCGTTTGGCGACGGGCGCCATGCCAGACTTGACCAAGCCTGACTATCAAACGACCTTGTCACATAACAAGAACTAGCCTACCTAGGCCACCAGCCCCTGTTCGCCGATGGCCCCTCACAATACGGATTGGTTCTCGTATGCAAATCCGAATCACAGCCCGCTATTGGGAAGGGTCTGTACCAAACCTTCTCCCCTGGAAACGACGACCTCAATCCAACAACGGCAAGGTCTCCCTGTTTCTCCATTCGAGATACCGGTATGCCTCCAGTCCCCTCTGAAGCGACGCTCATGAACGGCAACCCCGGCCGTTTCGTTTCCTCCCTTCCACGAGCGGCTGGGTCGACGCCGCGTCGCAATAGAACTTGTGTTAAGATCGCCCTGTTTCGTCCACCATGCGTGCCATGCGTTCGTGGTACTAGCCGGCTGCCGGCCTCGCCTGCAAGCCAACCACCATCAGGAGCTGTCAGCCCTCCCTCTCCGCAGCCCGTCCAATCCTGGAGTTTGATTTGTAGGGTACAACATGATGTGTGGTGTGCCGGGCACATCAGTCAATGGAAGAAGTCATGCCGAACTGGTGAGCTAGGCATCTGAAGCGGCTCCTAACTTTTGCGGTGCGTTGGCCGTTCCGTGCGGGTTGCTTATAGGGCTGGTGCTGAAATTTGTATCACGATGATGACGAAGGCCGCATGTCAGATTGAACGTGAAGGTCGGGTGCTAAACTTCGAGGCTGGGTTCCAACAGCGATGACCCTGGCGCGTG